AAGTATCTGACAGCATTCGATGAGCTTCAGCGGCAGTTTTCTTCGAATCAAATAAGAAAAGAAGGGCCCCTCGAAAAAACACCTTATCACGATCCATTTTCAATCGATTCAAAAACAATGACGCAGAACGAAAAACGAATCTTTCTGCTCTGAGTTAGATTGCTAAATGTCACATCTACAAAATGCAATTGGATTCACTTGTCAAGCTACGCTCAGTTACAAGTGGCGACATTTAAATGTCAGCGGCGGAAACTTTCGAATTGACCCAATATATACAGATTTTGCAGTCATTTACTATCAATCAGTGATTGCGATATCGCTCTCAGCATCTCATAGGATAACTGAACGCGATAATTCAGCTGGATGAGATGACGCAGCGACGCATCGCCCAAGTCTATCGCCCGAGTCTTTGTGATACACACGCACACAATTCGATGCCGCGCGTCACTGAATGGGACTGAGTGTATAAGGATACCGCTGGGCGCATTGTGTGTATGTGTATCGCATGGACTCAGGCGATGCGTCGCTGCGTCATCTCAGCCAGCTGAATTATCTCGTTCAGTTATTATCCTATGAGATACTGAAAGCGATATCGCAATCATTACTATCGATTGAACAATGAATATTGTAATAAGTTTCCGACTGCTCGTTTCCGTACAATCTTTTCATTTCGGTTTTGTTGATTTTTATTCACACATACACTCGTTCGCCATCTCCACTCTCTCTCTCTCTCTCTTCGTTTCATTCCATCTTCTTTTTGGTATTTTATGAGTTTTGTAGATGTAGAAAAAAACCTTAGTTTTTCTTTCATCGTTTCGCTTGGACATTTATTGCGAAGTTTTGCAAAAGAGGTCTGTGCATAGTTTTCGCTCAAATTTAAAACGAACCAAAAGTTTGTACCAGATTCAACGGTGTTGATAGGACGGGAACATGTTTCTTTTTTTCTATTTTCATTACTGCTTGCGCGCACAGTTGGTTTTTTTTGTTTCTGCGGGCATACCGTTTCATGTATACAGCGGAATTGGTGTGTGAAAAATAGCAACGTTTATGGGCCATTGCAATATTTTGTCAGCGTGTACAGAAAAAAGTGTCTTTGCCAGCATACCTTTGCATTGGAATGGCAATGGTATGCGACGCATAGAATGCCGTTCACATCGAATATTTAAACGCAACCACCACACCGAATCGACATCGTTGCCGAAGTCATGAAGCATACTAGTGGCAATAAAGCATGTCGCTATCTATGCTTCCTCTCTTTGCGCACAAGTAACAACGGAGACAAAAAAAAATTGTGATTTAAATATACATAGCATCCTCTTTACTTCTTTTTTTTATTTACTTTCATCGTTATAATACCTTATTTTTGGCTGCCAAAGGCACTGTAACTCGACTCGCATGCTCCGCTGCTGCTGGTTGTGTTGTCACACTCGCAATTTTAATTCCGTCGTTGTCGATGTCATTGCGCACGGAAATGCTCGTTGCGCAAAATGCAGTTAGTCAAGAAAAAATTTAGAATTTTAATAAAATCACGCATTTTCTCACATAATTCTTCGTGCTATGCTGCAAATATAGTCGTGGAAAATTTCTTGTGGAAATGCTGCTTGTGAAAATATTGTGATAAATGCGCACGATATCTGCAGTCGAGTACACGCAATTTACAAGAGGTTTTACAACGTGATTTCGACGGCTATTCAAACACACTAAACCTTTATTGCGTTTAAAGTTTTGCGACAATTTGTTCAAAATTCTTCGTGTAAAACCGTTGCCATCGTTGGTACAATGTAGCTGAGTGTCAAGCGTAAGCGTCATCGTTGTCGTTGTCGTCGTCTCTTTTAGCCTGTCGTCTTTTCCAGAGAATGAAAATGCTGTCAATATAGTTAAAATGGGATACATTACAAAATATGCCAAGCTGAAATGAGAACGACTTAAGATCCATCTCGTACCTTGACTTTTGATTTCCTTGAATTTTACCCTTTTAAATTCTTAGCCCGTGTGCATGTCACACTTGATGAAGGATGAATTTCAGAGTAAACCACACAACCAACATTTGGCTGTACACAATTCAATATTTATTAACCACCCACTCATACACACAAACTTACAAATACACACTTGTTTAAAGTTGCTCAATGCTTACTGATTCGAATCAAATGTAATCAAATTGTGTGAACATGGAAAATCTCTTGATATTTACCATAATAGGCATCAAGGAATTAGAAATGAATGTGGTCTCGATATTTAAATGATTACCTCGTTTTCCAATTTGTCAACAACCATAACCATAACAACAACAACAACAGCAATAACAACCAGAGACTCGAACGGCATCGAGAATGAACGATGAAAATTACATTCAACCACCATTCGTTTTCATTTAAAGGAATTTTGCGGATGAACAAATGTTGATATGCAAACCATGGAACAATGCAACTGAATGCGGAAGAGAAGCACTTTTAACTGGATAAACAACTGTAAAGTAGATGTGGTGAAAAAACCAAATCTCAGACAATTCTTCGGAGAAAGGGAGGAGGGAGTCTGCAGAGAGAGAGAGAGAGAGAGAGAGAGAGAGAGAGAGAGAGAAGGAAGCAAGAGAAGCAACAGCAGCAGCTCGGCATTCAATAATGTTATTTGAATGTTGTATGCCGTGCTTTTTACTCTGTTTGTTTTGCATTTCATTTTCATTTCTTGTTGTTTCTGTTAGCGAATCTCAAACTAGGCATGCATCAGAATGAATGTGTAACAACAGGCGCTTGTAGCAAGCGCACACATTGATTCGAATGCTGAGAGTCATGCATTAAAAATAGGTCACATTAACGAGAGCGAGAGAGAGAGAGAGAATAAATGCGAAAGAGATAGAGGGATGAGAGATGGAGCATCTAGTCTGCACACAATGTATATATGTACAATGTTGGTTAAACACGTTTCAATACGTATATATTTGTGCGAGACGAGACAACAAAAACATCTAATCACGCAGCAAACTCGGGGTGTGTGTATGTTTTCTCGTAAAAGTTTTCAGCACAGTTGGGAGTTAGAGTAAAAGATACGACTTATTTTCCCAAACACACACATACTCTTTCGATGGTCGATGTTTTGTCGTATTTTTCATTCGGCCATCCGAATATTTTTCAATTTATCGCCATTTTGAATTAAAATCGAACAGCTTAAATTGTCAAGTTTGCACGAAATCCGGCCCGAAAAATTTCCATGGCAAAGTGTATTTATGTGCGACGATGCTTTTAACGAAGTGTGAAGCGCACAAAAACCACAATCCAGAGATCTTTGGCAACAAGCGGCCATATGCTCTATAAAACCACTTGCACTACGTGATGTGACAAAACCGAATCGCCGACAGCACATATTTCTAATGATGTAATGCCATAGCATTTAGCTCTTATATTCTCCGCTGCAACTTTTTCCACATGCCTGTCGTCGATTGGCGTTTGCATTTCGCCCTTTCTCCCTCTGGCTCTCCAGCGTTGTCGTCGTCATCCTCGTTTGGTTTCTCTCTTGGGCTGCTTTTAATGGTAATATATGATCTCGGCGGCATCACCTACACTCAGTTGACTGTTGCAGTTTTTGCTATTTAATGATGCACAATCACATGCACACACACACACACACACACACATACACCAATAAAAATGTCGAAAGCAAGCATCGAAACAACGTTTGCACCATTGCTTGCTCATACTCTCTTCTGACCTCCCAACAACGACCTACCTCCATAAAAAGAACGTTGTAGCGCGAAGACATGCTTCCACAGCATTGAGACTGTTAGTTTTGCAGCGTAAAAGCAAACAAATTATGGATGAGCAGATAGTTTTCATCATGGAAAACGGAGAGAGAGAAAGAGAGAGAGAGAGAGAGACGGTGTGTGGCACAAAAAGCGAAAGAAAAATGCGATGATGATTTGATGTTGACGCTTGTTTTATTAGTACTCGTCGAGCTGGATACTCAGTTATCATGGGTGAGCACGCGCGCTCTCAGCGCGGCCTCGTATTCAAGCCAATATTATCACGTGCTACGATTTCATCACTTTTCTGCTGTTGCTGCTGCTGTTGTTGGTGTTTTTGTTTTTTTGCATCTTCCTTTTTTGCTAATTTTCCCATCACGATGTACAACAAATCCGGAATAAAAATAATTGTAATCAGCTGCTGTGCGACACACACACACACACACACTCGCACAACCAGAAATGGAACAGCCAAACGAATACGAATCGTACATCCAACCATCTAGAATTACAAAAAGTACATCCAAGTGCTGCATCTACTGTATTTATACCCAACGTACGGTACAATCGTAGACATACTTATGTTTATTTATGAAAAGAAAATACATGCTTGATGTTTTTGTCGCCTCGTAAAAAAGACATGATGTATTCTTTGGTGCGGTCTGATCTTAACTGTCAGTTTCACTGTTGGTTTCAACACCAACTGCGTTCACACAAACGAAAACTTGCTTACAAATAGTACTAATAATTATTATTTGTCTTCTTTACTTCGCAGAAATTCCGTGGAATTGTTCAAATTCGGTTACTTTATTCATGATATACATTGAGATACCCCTTTCCATGCATTTATCTACATATAGATAGTGAATAAACTCAAACGGAGAGAAACAATTTGAATTCAAATCGGAAATGATATTTTGGCATTGCCATATTTATGTTCCGTTATTGCATTAGCACAGCAATCAACTTTAATTGTAAATATCAGTGTTTTTTCCGGCTCACAGCCGACTGCAGTTCGGCGAATTGAGTTCGCAATGAAGCATATTTATGAACATTTCATGCGTCAACACAGTTTAAAATGACATTTAATTTTTAGTATTCGTTGCTGCATTTGTGCTATGTAAATGTGTTGCAGAGAAGATTTGATGTCAATCAAAAAGTACTTTAGAATTTGATTATAATATGCCATTTTTTCTCTCATCTTTCTCATATTGTTTTCATGCAAATTGTATTCTTTTTTCGTTCTGTTTGTATTCTTTTCCAGAAATCGGAACGTTATCTGCCATCGTTTCAGACGATTGCGTATGCGATCAAAAGTGCTTCACAGAAATTCAATTGGACTGAAGCGATTATTTTTGCTGGTAAGTAGCTTATGGTATGAATTAAAATCAACCGTGAAGCTCAACGCATTTCCAACAGGTATTTTTATCCGTACAAATTTATGGGAAAGTTTTGCATCAAAATCTGCGATTAGCATACACTCTCTTTGTGGAGGATGGAAAAATCCAAGGCTTTCGTTGTTCCTCACAATGAATACATAATCGCTATTACATCGAATATTCTGCCTATTGTTCGTTGAGCTTTGCATAAGTATGAAAGACAAGTACTGCCATTATAATTATTACTCCGTTTCGATGGTTTCCCTCCTTGAATATAGCCATGAAAGAGAAGATGATGATGATGGTATACACTATCTGTCTACAGCTCTACACGCTCAGCATATTTATATCAATGTGCTTTATGTTGCAGCGCGCCCTCCCTGTTATTGAAATTTTCCATAAAATGCACTTAATTAACATCAAGAGTGTTTAAATAAATAGAAAGTCTCGAAATAAATTCATAAATTGAACGGTGGAATTATGCTGTGAGCAACGGAAATAGAAATTCCCTACTTGAAATCTCGGCAAATCCAGATGGAGTATTTTTTTCTGCTTTGAAGAGAGAAAGAAAAAGACGCCTCAAAAATAGCGCAGCGCGCCTTTTTCTTTAAAGTTTAATAATCTGGAAACAGTGAACAGTGTTTTATTCTTCTTTTGCACCGAAAACATTTTCTTCATCATCAAATCATATTCCCTCTTGCGAAAACAACTTATAAACCCAGCAAACTCTGTGTGTTTGTATATAGTTGCAAAGCTCGGTGGAGGAGCTCATTTCTCAAGTGGTTTCGTGAAGTTCAAGTGATTCATTACGAAGCATGTTCAGCTTTTATTATGGAATCCTTACCGTAAAGCTCCTTCTTTCAATCTCATGCTAGCTCACTCGCACCCACTCAACCTCTGTGTTTCTCTCCTGCCCGCGTACGCTTCGAAGCACTCACTCAAATGTGACAGAAAGGCTGTAATCAAATGCTTTTCATCATTCGAGTCCTGTTGAACATATACGTACAGATAGGAAAAGGTCGAGGGCAGGTGCACTTGTGTTCATCATCGCCATCAAAAAGATTTTCCAAGATCGCACATCAATCACTATGGATGAATGAACACAATATATAGGGTGTGTATTGCAGCCATCCCCTAACTGCTACTGCAGTGTATAGGTTATTTGATTCGTTGCGAAAAATATTATGGAATTACTTGACATTGTGCCATGAGACTTCTCTCGACTCGAAATAACATAATTTCATCGTGCAAACGCGTACAAATACGTATTATGCAGACAATGGCAGAATTTTGTAGCGAAATATAACATCAATTTGCGATTTAAGAATTTGATTCTTTTTTTTCAGATAACGAATGGGGTTTACCATTGGCAATAGCAGCGAATTTACATTTTCCATATCGTATTAAAATCGGTTTGGATGATTCCACCGATTTTCATAATATGGATGCATTTGATAGACGTAAGTTAAACCAAAAATCCATTTAAATTAATTTTCGATAATCAGAATAATAAATGTAAAATGAATGAGAAACAAAAAAATAATAATAATTGATTTTTCATTTTCAGTGTTCATTATCACATCGTCGTTAAATTCGTATGAAACATTAACCCTGATGCAACAATTGAGCGTTTATAATCGATCGAAAATCTTAATTATTGACATAATCGGCAACGTTTTCAATAACCACAGTGAATTTTATAAAACAATCAATCAACACAAAGGAAATCGTTTGACGCAAAATTTACTGGTATTGACAACGTTGACAGCCAATCTGAAGCGATTTCTCAATGCAACATTCACCACGGAATTTAATAATATCTATGGCAAAATGAGCGATGAACCAACGGCGGCTGTATTCGCAATGAAACCCCCTACATCGAGTACAGTGGACGACAATGACGACGACGACGACGACGACGACAAAAACAGCGATGTGAATGTAAGCACAGTTATTAATTTGGTGGAACAGCGATTGAATGATTACCACGGTCCACGCACCGCATACAAAAGCGTTGATGATAATATTCTAGTGCATTTTAACGAAAGCGAATTAATTTTAATTGCATCTGTTTTGGAAAAGTTGTACAACGACAGTTGTCGTTTGGCAACGGTGGCCGCGATACACGCGGAAAGTGTGTCAAACGGAGCGGTATCTTCGCATGATGTGCACAATAAAACAAATAAATTCGTGAAATTGGGCAATGCCACTCGTGCAGATGGTGTGAGCGAACCGCTTCCAATGTGTGCTCCGAATAATAATACAAATAGTTTTTCGAAATGTGAAATGGTTTTGCGCGAGCGAACAGCACTGTTCGCTAATAGTACACGTACGATGGATATTACAAAAGTTTTATGTGCGCAAATACAATTATGGCGGCAACGGAATCCAACGTTGCTGCTGCTGTTGCCATCACCATCACCACCACCACTCCAACGGCAAAATAAAAAATCAAACAGTGTGGCAAATATTTTGAATAGAAATGTAAACAATCTTGGGAAAAATCGAACCACCACCGCCGCTGCCGCCACAACAACCAGCACCGCAACTGATGTAGATGGTCGACCGAACGACGATGGATCGCATGCAAATCTGACTTCCGCTACGAGCAGTGAATCTGTAAATTTGATACCAAATCAACTTGATGCCGAATTCAGTGAATATTTTCCATTTTTCGATTTTATCGTAACGAAACTAGTGCTAAGTCATAATTTAACTGTCGATTATAACAACCAAAGCGGTAGAAGTTTTGTAACTGCTGCACCAAATGGTTCGGCAACGGCGTCGCCTGAAAATACGTTCGATTTTTGTATGCTTGAGCTCCATCGGAGTCAGGCAATTTCGATAGACGGTGAAAACGTTGGCAACAATAACAATAGCGATGCTACTTTGAATCGAACACACATCACGACCACATTTGTATGGCGGCCGGTTCTTATTTTAAGGCAAAATGAACTCCATCAGAACATCTTTGTCACCCATCCGCTGTTGCCATATCGATATCCGAGCTGGTTTTTTGACAATACACATAAATTTTGGACGTGTGGCTTGTTGTGTTGGATTTTAGCTGGTATCGTTGTATTGTTACTCGTTTGTATTTTGGTGGCGAGCATCACGTTCGGTTTGGCAATTAGGTGAGTAGATGATTCGAGCATTCGTGTGTGGGTGTGTGTGCGGTTAGCTTCATTTTCACTAAGCTCTATCTCTTGCATCAATTTATTGTTGATTTTTGTTCTTTTTTTTCACCTATTCTCTCTTGTTTGCGGCAACCATTTTTAATTTGATTCTTAACACCGAAACCGCTCTCGTTCTCTCTGGAGTAAACGTAAAACCAATAAAACTCGATTATATTGTTATTCATAATAGTTTTTGCAAAGTATAACCGGCTTGGATTTTGTATATGTGGTTTTTCATTTGGTTGCTTTAATTTCGACGTTATAACCCATTTCCCGTTTTTCGTTTCGTTTCGCTTTTTTTCGCTGTTTTTTCCATGACGGATTAAACGTATGGAATCGATGTACAAGTATTTCATTTGCAAAGCATTGTTTTCCATGCATACCAATTTGGATGCAAATTTACCGAAAAAAGCAGAGAGAGGGAGCGTGAGAGGTAGAAATAATTTGTGCATTTGAGCAAACTGAAAAACGATTCAATTTTCGCAGCATCACCAGCATTGTGATAGAAACAATTCGAAGCGCGAAAAGGTCATTTTCATTTAATCCGGATCGGAATGCTTGCAAATGCATGCACATTTCCGCATGTATTCATTGCTCATTTGTGAATGATGACGCGCACCGCATGATAGAAAATAAAGCACGCAACAACAACAACAACATGCGATTGCCCATTTGATCGGAAATTCATTATGTCAGTGGTGCAAAGGTATGATGTTTGCACATCTTTCAAACAAAACAAACGCATTTCGGTATGAGCATGTCGGTTTTGATAGTATATTATTGGAGTTTTATCGAAATTACTAGGCGGATTGAAAAGTCGGGTACTTTTTGAATGAAAACACATTTTTTTCGCAAAATTTCATTTGATTTCTCAATATAGGCTCCTTTTAGCTCGATACAGTGAGCCCAACAATCTTCCAACTTTTGGATGCCTGCTAAATAGTACGATTTGTCCAATGTCTCAAATTAGCTATCTGTTTCGAACTCGACTTCTTCATTGTTGTAAAAACGCCTTCCACAAAGTCATCTTTTGAGGTTTGGGAACAAGTAGTAATCACTGGGGGCCAGGTCAGGAGAATACGGCTGGTGCGGAAGCAATTCGAGGCCTAACTCGTGCTTTTTAGCCATGTTCCGTCCACCCTCTAGCCTGTTGACTGGACTCCGGAGTGTAGTGATGGATCCAAGTTTCGTCCATCATCACTAATCGACGCAAAAACTCACTCCGGTTGCGGTTAAAATATGCTAAATTGGCTTGAGAAGTGGTTACACGAATGCGTTTTAGTTGAATTGTCAGCAAACGCGGCACCCATCTTGCGCATAGCTTATTCATATGCAAATGTTTAAGCAATATGTTAAGCACCCGTTCATATGAGACGTTTACAGTCTCAAATATCTCACGCATGAAATTTACGATTACTTACGCATTTTCGGATGATTTAACACCAGATCATGCATTTTGTCTATCATTTCTGAGGTAGTAACCTCATTTAGACGACCTGGGCGTCTTCGGTGCTCGTGCGACCACACTTAAATTCAGTAAAACACTTGTGGACCATTTTATGAGATGGTGCGGAGTCCGAATAATACTTTTTAAGCGCCACTTCGGTCTGGGCGATGGTTTTTCCACACAAAAAATAGTGTTTAATCAACACACGAAATTCACTTTTTTCCATGTTTACACAAATATTTGGAGGTTCGTTGCTTCAAAATGCTATAACTCATGAAATAATGGTCGGATTTGGCTCCAATTTTGACAACTGTCTTCTGAAGAATGGTACTTGGCAAAAACCATAAGGATTTTGTATCAGTGTCTCCCTCTCATAGAAAAGTACCTGACTTATCAATCCACCTAGTAAATCGTTTTGAAAAGCTGTTGATTTCCATTCAATCCATCAAGTCTTTGGGCTTTTCAGAGACTTTTCTGTTCGAACAACGCATTTTTCATCACAGAAAAGATGAAAAAAACTGATATATCTATTGATGGCAGCTGAGTGAAAAACAAGACCGCAGAGCTTCGCTCCGCTCCACTCTGCGTTCTTGAGTTTTTAGTTACTTGATCTATTTTGTTGTTTCACAACAAATTATTTTTTGGCGCACTACATGAAATGTATTTCATCAAAGTAACTTTGAAGTAATATATTTATTTGCAAAATGAATTACAAGATCTTGGTTTTATTTCTTTTTTGAAATATACTGCCTTTGGTTTAAATATAATAAAAAATATGAGCATAAAATTCAAATTCACCATCATTTGTTTCATCACTCAAAAAGTATTAAAAAAAAGAGCAGATTATTAGCTCTAAATTTCATGTAGTGCTAAAAAGGAAATATTTCAAAGCAGTATTCATCATGGTGATTTTCCCATTCGTCAAAAAAATCGATTTCGATTCGGCAGAAATACGACAAAAGAAATGGAATACCACAAGATCAAGGATGGAAGGGGAAAAAAGGAAGAGAAAAAGAATGTAAGAAAGGTCGTATGCATTCAGAAGAAAAATAGAAAGAGAATTATAACGAGAGAGAAAAAAGAAATCTACAATCAAGCCAGATTCAACAAATTTCCACTGCTATCTCTAATTCGGTGGGTTTGATCTGCCTCTTTCTGTGAGTGGGGCTGTCGTACCGATTCAAAAGACTGAATAAATTGCTGCCAAAACAGCTTTATTGCGTTCATGTCATTGAGATTTGACTCTATGGACTCATTCTTTTGTTTCCACGAATCGTTGGCATATTTGATAAGTTTTATCTATTTCGTATTACATCCTTTGAGCATCACTCAAAATCGATGATTTGAAACGAAGAGAAAAAAAGAAGCTCGGCACACTCTCGCTCACGAGCGAAAACAAAAATAGAATGGAATCACATGCAAACGAAGAACGTTTATATTCATCATCCTTATGCACGATGGGATTCGGTGTTTGGACTTCAGAGTCAATCGACTTCTTTTGAATACATGCGGAATACATAATCTCTTGTGGTAATAAAATACGACGCATTTCAACGGTTCAACATTTCCATGTACAAATCTGGGCGCAAAAGGCAAAAGCAAAGCCGACGCTTGAGAAACAAATGCGGAAAAAAAACCTTCAAAACAAGTAATTTGATTTGATTTGGTTCGCAAAATTTGTTGATCCCATGCCGCGGATATATGCGAACATTTTGATAATGTTGCGAAGCCGCTCACGACTTATTCTGTTAAATTTCGTGTATTTTTGGAGTAAACAAGCAAAAATTAAACTTTTCACTTGCTGTGACAATGTACCACCCGGCCAATTTGTGTGTGCGCGCGCCCGACAGCATTCTTTTCTGCTTCTGTTCTGTTCCGCTGGAATCAACAGCAAGGAAATAAGGAATCTCTTTAATCTACAACCGGTCGCCTCTCATAAATAGTGCTGCAAACAAAAGCATGTTAATGAAAAAAAAGGTCTGACCCCCCACTCTCTCTCTGCCTTTCTTAAATAATTTGTTTATTCAAAACGTACGAACGAAACGAGAAGAGATTTCTCGTCTGTTTTTTCCCTTTGATTTTCTTTTTTTTCGGTGTTAAATTAATTCGGAGAAAGGGATTCCGAACGTTTGTCGAGAATCCAACTGTTAAATGCTTATTATTTATGCGAATTTATTCAGTGAGCGCGAGAATCACATCGTCCGTCGATTTACAGATGATTCGTATTCATCGGGTGGATATCATTCCATTTTCGCTGTGATGAACACACTCATTTCCATTGTAAAATGTTTTCACTGGAAATCGTTAGGCCAATAAAAATGGAAATCTATTGTTGAACCATCGCATAGCAGAGGCGTGAATAAGCATCTGAAAAGTCGTATCATAAAATAAAAATTAATGTAAAATGCGAAGAAGAAAAAAAAATAACATGTTCACGCTCGGAAAAATCATTCCAACAGTCTATGGCCAGCGCTATGTGTGTGTACGCGCGCGTATTTTTTCCCTTTGTTATTTTCATTTCACCAAAGTAAACTGCAGCCCAAAGCATTTTTATTACTCTGCTTATTTCGTTACAGCGACATTGTCTCCGCGTATAGTTTAAACTTTTTCCTTTTGAGCTTCTCTCCTTATCTCTCTTGCCCATCCGCCCCATCTCGCTCTATCGGTCTGCATCATTTTTCTGGCACTCTGTTTTTGTCCCAATTATGATTATTGTGTACGACAAGCAAGCAAAAAATAGAGACAACGAAAAAAAATAGTCAAATGATTTCGAGTATATATTGTTGCGTTGGCAATTGGCCTGAACTGCTTTTCTTCTATATTCCTTTCATTTGCTTTCATTTGCTTTGTTATCCATTTTTCGCGCATCTTATTGTTTCGTCTTCATCAAATTCCGTCCAGCGGCTTCTTTGCTCTCACTCTTCGTTTATTCAGTGGATTTCTGTTTTTCTCGACTTTTGTTTTGTTTCCATCTCAACTTTTAACAAAGTTGAAGTTTTTGGTTAATTTGCTGCCTTCCATTTTGGTCTTTTTTATTCGCAAATGATCTATGCCCCTCACATCGTCAGATCAATTATTCACTTATGACTCTACTCTCTCTTTCTCTCGTTTCTTTGTTTCTTTATTTCGCTTTTGTGCTCTTCATTTGTGTTTGGCGTGTTTCTTTTTGTCTTCATTTAATGGATGCATCGCAGAAATTATTTGCTGAAGAAGCGACTATCGAAGGGTCCCAATAAAATTGTTCTGTCGGCCGCCGATTTCGTTTTTCCGATTGACGTGCGACGGGTAAGTTGCCATTAATGTTCCTAACTTATTTATTCAACAAGCCGAAAGGAACGACAAAGAAAATTCGTGTTTTTTTTCCAGAGGTTGGTTGCAGATAAATTTATTTATATAAATTTCGAATATCAAATAAATTTATCCGATATTTTTCATGCGTTGTGTTGTTCTGACGCATTCGTAGCACATAAACGAAACATCGGCTGTTGTATTGGCGGCCAGCTATTCATCGCAGGAATGAGATTTTTGTTTTGTTCATTCAACGATATTTGTGAACAAGTCTGCCACTGTGTCACTACATAGTATATATAAGGAATGTGCAGAGACGAAAATGTTCGCCATTTAGTTTTACATTGCCAACACATTAGTTATGGAGATTTTGTTTATTTTTTGTTGTTTGTAAACAAATCTGCATATCTTTTTGCATTGTCTCTATACACTTCTTATGGACATATACTATGTACAGCGGCAATGCAAAAAGATAGGCAGAGTTGTTTACAAACAACAAAAAATAAACAAAATAAAAATCTCCATAACTAATGTATTGGCAATGTAGAACTAAATGGCGTACATTTTCGTCTCTGCACATTTCTTATATATACTTTGTAGTGACACAGTGGCAGAATTGTTGACAAATAACAATAAATGAACAAAACGAAAATCTCATTCCAGCAATAAATAGCTGGCAAATGCGTTAGAACAACACGACGCATGAAAAATATCGGATAAATTTATTTGATATTTGAAATTTATATAAATAAATTTATGTGCAACCAACCTCTGTTTTTTCTGTCTTCTTCTTCTCAGCCAAATGTAAATGTTGATCATTTGAGAATCACAGAGCTCGTTTTGCCGTGTTCTGTTTTTTTCTGTTCTTTTATTATGCTCTCTTGCTTTTACATCAACAAACAAAAACTTTTCCCATCGATTTACTTCATTGTTGCCGTTCATGTTGATTTCGCTGGTAGGTGCTTTGTGAGTTAGTGTGTGGCTTAAGTTTTCTCCCCTGGTGCAAAAGTAAAAGAAGAAGAAGATGAAAGAAATGCGAATATTCGCCGCGCAAAATTTATGGTTGACAATTTCTTCGGCACAAAACACTTGCACAGTGTGATCAAGAGTACGGGCTGTCATGATAACAGATTTGTTTGTTCCGATAAGAAAATAGAAAGTGTCACACACAATTTTTTGCCCGTTTTCACTAACAAAACATCAGGAAATGAGTAGATCTATTCTGGCACAGAGAGCTCTTCATTTTTTTTTCAAGTCTGGCAAATGTTAAAAGAAAGAAGTAAACATTCCATAGACCAAGAGGGAAAAAAAGTTGAATTTCATTCTTTTGAAAGATGTTCATAACGAACAATTTTTTTTTGTTCTGTCTCCCAGCAGCATTCAAATGTATAACAAATCTGTGACTCAACGGAGGTTTTTTTTATCGTTTTTATATGCAAATTTGAATGAAAATATTCCGGTTTATCATTTGCAATCTAACTAAAAGCGTCCAAATGCAATTTCTAGTTTCTACGAAATTAAATCACTGTGAGTCAAGCAAACATCATTTCTCGTACGCTCACAATTCCACGCCGTAGAAAAGAAAAATCTGTTTGTGATTCTGTTGGCAAAATCAGTGTGGATACATTTTGTGCCCAGCAAAGCACAACGGGAAAAAAATTGCGACGGAATGAAGTATTGGTTTTGTTGGCGTTTTGCGAGCGAAAAAAGAAAGATTATTTGAATTGAACATAATTGGATTCTGTTCTGGTTTCTGTAGGTTGATGAAGGCATTGAGGCAATGCTGTGCTGCTGGTTGCAGCAGCTGCAAGAGTTTGGCGGCCCGGAGGTGGACAAACCGGATTTATTGAAAGGTTCGATTGGATCGTTGAAAAATCTTGGCGTCGTGAATAACACATCATCGGCGGCTGCGACTTCGACCACAACATCGACCGCACCAGCTGTTACCACCACCACCACCACGACAACAGCCAGCAATATGAAATCTAACGTTTCAACAACGGGCAGCATTATCAAGCATAATCCTTGCCTTGATAAACGAGCGCGCTACAATGTATGTATTTCAGATTATACGTGTTGAAAACACCAAACAAACTCCCACTGTGCGTTCATATGATGACGCACATTTTGACTTGCTGTCATTACATATTACGCTGGAATTTTGTCTCTTGTGCCAATGCTCATTTTCTAAATGTCATGTGTGCACTTCGGTTCGGTGTGCGTAAACAACGGCATCGAAAACAAAAAACTTAACACATAGACAAATAAACTTTTCTTTTCTCTGTGAACGAAGTTGAACGGAATCGATGGAGGAAAATCATAATTTCCATTTGTTTTTTTTTTGTTCATCGCATTCGTTTCAGGGTGATTTAGTGCAACTGAAGGAAATGCCAACGGGTGCATCAAACGAACTGAAAGCTAAAGCAATGGACCATCTGGTAATGGCACATGGACTGCGACACGAGAATATAAATCCCCTGATCGGTAAATAAATGTTTTCCTTATCAGACTACATATTTTCGCTTTCCGTTCTCCTACTGTGGATGCTTTTGCTGCTGCTGCTGCTCCTCGGAAAAATAACTAACAACTTTGAAATGAGAAAAGATAGAATCGTCAAATGGGAAAGTCAAATGAAAAATAATTGCTGGCGGCTATACGCTACACACATCACAACGACCGAATCGAAATCGAATAAATAGGAAACAACCAATTTTCCAGTCGATTAGCCTGTGTGCTTTGACTTTTTGCCGCATAGCGCAAAGAAACGAAATGCGAACGAGAAAAATTTGATTTCACATCATTTCTTTGTTTGGTCGGTCGGTCGACCGAGTGTTGAAAGCAAGAAAGCGCTCTCCTTCGCATCCCAATATTATATCATCAAATTTGCTCGCTGTTCACATTTTCTGTAACTCATTTTTTTTTTCGTCGTGTGTACGATTGTGCGATTCACGACCATTTGCTGATGGCTGTGTTTTTCACTTTGTGTTTTTGTGTGTGTGCGCGTGTGTTGATTCCATTCTCTCGTTTTATTCTTCTCTATTCCCTCACATCCATTGTGTGTGATGGCAGGTTGGCTAGCGGATCCGTTACGCACCGCAATGGTGTTCGAGTATTGTTCGCGTGGTTCACTTCAAGATGTGCTTATCATGGACGAAATTAAATTAGATTGGTCATTTCGTTTGAGTTTATTAACCGATTTGGTGCGTGGCATTCGATATTTACATTCGTCGGGGATGCGTGTACACGGTGCGTTAACATCACGAAATTGCGTCGTTGACGCTCGATGGGTATTGAAAGTCACCGACTATGGACTCAACCAATTCTACGAGGCACAAGGAATACCACCACCAACAAAATCAGCCAAACGTTAGTTCAATTTATTTTTCAATTATTAAATCACGTCCGGAAGACATTTTTCATGCCAATTTTTCTTTTCTCTTCACGTTTTTTCTTTCCTTCCCACCCCATCTTCTTCGTCTTCTTTGTCGTTTTTGTGTTTTTCTTTCTTTTCGTTCGAAATATTCCAATCACCGTTTTTTCTTTCTTCATTTTTTTTGCGACAGAATTGCTATGGACATCGCCAGAGCTGTTACGGAATCCGAAAGGCAACAACAAGTTTGGCACACAAGCTGGCGACGTGTATTCATTCGGAATAATAATGCAAGAGGTGGTCGTGCGGGGTGAACCATATTGTATGCTGTCATTATCAGCTGAAGAAATAATATCAAAGTTGAAAAAGCCACCGCCACTGATTCGACCGTCCGTATCGAAGGGAGCTGCACCACCCGAAGCAATCAATATTATGCGTCAATGCTGGGCAGAAACGCCCGATATGCGACCCGATTTCAATTCGTGAGTCAATGTTGCCAATAAATGCTACACTTAATTTAATTGAAACGTTCAACCATTTGCATATCCAAATGGGAGCACCGGTAGGATGTAATTATTCCTATCTGCGTTGTTTTCTCTCTCATAAGACTAAAACATGCCAATCAGTTTTTTTTTTCTATTTTGATTTTCATATTGTTCTCACTGTTTTCTTTCTAATTTTGCAGTGTTTACGAGCGATTTAAGGTGTTGAACCATGGACGAAAAGTGAATTTCGTCGATACAATGTTCCAAATGCTGGAGAAGTATTCCAACAATTTGGAGGAGCTTATCAAAGAACGTACCGAACAATTAGATATAGAGCGTAAAAAGACTGAGCAATTACTGAATCGAATGCTTCCAAGGTAACTTGAACTGATTTCAGTACATTTTGATCGCATTGTGGATGCGTGTGTATGTGTGTGAGTGCATAGACACCTCAACATTGATTGAATTCGGGTCGTTGCATTCACTTATCCAGTTTTATCACGTAATTTCATTTCAATCTTCCTCGCTCTTCTAGCGATATATCCATGTTTTTTTCCCTTTATTCCGTTGTCGGATTTTTTGTTGGCGTCTTTCATTTGTTGCATTGTTGCCATTTTCATTGTGATTGACTTGTTGCATATTATATTAAACATGTCATACGTCCGCGTGCATTGTATGCATTTGATCGTGTTTCGATGCTTGTGTCAATTACTGCCAATTATCGTGTCTGTATTCTGTAATTTGCTTCGATTTTTATCGATTTTCTGCGCAACCATCCCACATACAATTTTCTCTCTGTTTTTTCATGCGAACAGTTCCGTTGCGGAAAAGCTGAAACTCGGTTTGAACGTTGAACCTGAAGAATATTCAGATGTAACGATTTACTTCAGCGATATTGTTGGTTTTACAACAATCGCGGCATACTGTAGCCCCGTGCAAGTGGTCGATTTGCTGAACGATTTATACACGTGTTTTGATAATGTTGTTAATGCGTATAGTGTGTACAAGGTAACCGAAGGACATTTATATATACACCTAAATCGATGACCGCATCAAAAGCAACAACTAAAACTAAATTATCTAACTAGGTTGAAACGATAGGGGATGCATACATGGTTGTTAGCGGCTTACCAGTTCGCATTCCCGATCATGCCGAGCAAATTGCAACGATGGCATTGGATTTGTTGCATCAAAGTGGCCGTTTTAAAATAAAACACTTGCCCGAAGTACCATTACAGCTACGCATCGGCTTGCACACAGGTTATTTTCGTCCATTTGATGACTATTATTATTCCATATTAAAATGGCACATAGCTTTTGTCCAACACGCACTAGTTTTTGTGCATGCACTCACATTTACACTCATTTAACATTTGCATAGGCCCGTGTTGTGCCGGTGTGGTGGGATTAACAATGCCTCGATACTGTTTGTTCGGTGACACGGTAAATACGGCCAGTCGAATGGAAAGCACAGGTTTGTATGTTTTATATATATAAATGGCTCCACACTTCATGTACCGTAGGTAAAATATTAAAATTAACTGGCGGAAACGCTTCAATTTTTCAATAAGGTTCTTCGTCACGAATTCACTTGTCGGAAGCAACGCGCGATCGATTGGAAAAGGCTGGCGGTTACCATATCGAACCACGCGGTGGAATCGAAATCAAAGGAAAAGGCATCATGAACACGTACTGGCTGTTGGGCAAAAAAGGATTTGATAAAGTGTTACCGATGCCTCCGCCAATTGGGTAAATATACAGTTTCCGAAAAACTTTGACGGGGAACAAAGAACTGCAAATTCTTCTCTTTGATACATTCATTTAACCTGAGTTTTTTGTTGTTCTTCCCTTCTTCCGCTTTGATTTCGGGTTCAAAAAACAACTACAGTGAGTCGCACGGTTTAGATGAAAATTTGATTCAACACTGTATTCGGTCAAAGCAAAGAACGAAAACACCCTGTATCAGTACAACGCATTCGTCGAGTCAATCGTCATCGTTGGCCGGTGAACCGGTCGATGTAAAAGTGGAAATAACACCTCCACGTGATGCTGAATCGGTACAAGTGCCAAATTCCTACTCCATCGATTCGGCACCAACGAATTTGGGTTTAAGTTTGTCCGAATTCAAAACACCCAGTCCACAACAACGTAAGCTATCCGAACTCCCAACAGAGACATTGCTTAATGCAGCTGCGAACTTTGGTCGTTTAACACCATCACCGTCAAGTGCGTCATCGTGTAAATTGTATAAAAAATTCGAAGATTTTCTCGATCTCAGCTCACCATACAACCATTATCGATGCTTATCGCCATCGGAAAGTAATTTAACGCAATGTCACGATGGCAAATATATTTATGGTGCGGGCAAAATGGACAATAAACCAGGCTCAAGTCGATTGTTACGACGTCAATTCAGTTTGGACAAAGACGATTGCCAAAATAATGGTGGCGCTGGCAGTGGCGCTGGCGGAGGTGTTGGTGGTGGTGGCGGCAGCATCAGTGGCTTTCCAGCTCAATCGAGTGCCGCCATTACAATTGCTCAAATGAAAACCAGTCTGGATGTGCCGTACATGCAAGACATGCGATCATCACCGAGTCCAACAAACATCAAACCGGGTCGATTGCACAAACAGAATTCGGCAAGTGTTGCACAGGATTTAGGGAAAATCGAAGAAATACCCGCATCACCAACATCATGCATATTCAATTATCGTAGCACACATTTAAGTCAAATACCAGGCTCGGCGGCTGGTTCGCCCGCCTCGAAAAAACCAAATGATACACCAAATGCAAATCAAATCTCAACCATTGCAACACTCGAATTACCGTCATCCATATCGGACGCACCGTCAAGAGCCGTTTCACCCATTTCGGCCAACACCATTTGCAGCAACAGCGGTGACAGTATCTCCGAGCACAGTAACAATAACAATGGAAACATTTGCTTTCACATTTAGACAAATTTACATGTGTGTGCGTTCGATGAAATCAAAGCAAAGAACTACTTACGTTTTTTTGCTGACGATAAAAATTGCCATTTTCTTTTATGCCATGGGACAAATAAGAATTTTATCTGTAGTAGTTACACAGTTTTATGAATATTAACCCTTTTAACGTAGCAAAAAATAAATTTTCAATAAGAAGAAGAAAAAAAATAACGTCGTCGCTGTCTTCGCTCTCACTGGATGACGAGCAAATAGCGCACGTTCGTTCATGTTGTTGTGATACATTTCTATGAATGAAAATATTTAGAAAAAAAACACCGGACAAAATGGGATTCGTTTTTTTTTCTTCAGAAAACTAGAGCCAAATAAAAAATTATGTATAGTTATGAAAACAGATGACTATTACTACAGATAAAAGTTTATATGTATACAAAAAAGTAACGCCATTGATTTTAGTGCGCTCCTAGAATGCAACACTTGACAAAAAAAATCCTATGGACTTTGACAGATACCTAATATATAGAAACTAAATGAAAATAACAAACTATATTCCAATTTTATTCGAATAATTCATAAATTTATTCACCCGACGTTTTATTGTAAATTGTTAATTGTTGACAAATTTTTACCTGCTCTGAATTTAAACCATTGAGTTTAGCGTGTAGAAAATGAACTGTAACACTAGAAATAAATGTTTATGCTAGTCTAAAGAAAAAAAATGCTATTTGATGTTTAAAAAAAAGTATTTACACAGAAATTTTGTTAAAATGTTCATTTTCTACTATTTTTATAAGGACACAAACAAAACAGAACAAAAAATCGAAGATTTGGTTGGTAGTTTAACTTTGAAAGAGCGCGCTGCTTGTAGCGACCATTTAACTGTTAATGCATTTATTTTCATTTCAAAATGAGAAAAGAAAAACAATCCAAATGAGAGACTTATTGCTGTATTTCAAACTCTTCTCCCAACTACACCCATCCTCCCACAACAAACTTAAGCTAATCTTATTAAATAAAAATAGCATTTCATTGAATTCTCGCGTTTTTAACGTGGCCGATAGCATTAAATGTGTCTACAAACATTTCAATAGGTAAACAATCAAATGAATTAAATCAAGAGGTTTTAGCACGTAGATCTAGTCATCATTTCAAGTTTTCAAGTGTGTACAGCTTTTACATCCCACCAAACCAAATAGGTTTTATAATAACGATTATGTACTTGATGAACACTATCAGTAGTTGAACAGAGAAAAGAGAGAAAAGAGAGAAAATGAATAAAAAAAACTCTATACGAATATTTTATCGACGTAAATAAAACATAATTTATTTGTGTAAAGTGGTGTTAAAAGCCACAAACAAACAGCAACAACACTAAGGACAAAAGTTATTTTCCATTCCAATTGAATTGGAATTCAAGAGTGTATATTTTATTTGAAATGTGATTGAAAGATGTTGGACATTAAGAGAATTTAACAAAAAAATAAATAAATAAAATTAACATTAATTTATCTAAATGGACAGGAGCTGTCGATAAATTACTCTCTAGTAGAACTGTTAGATTTCCAAATATATGATTAAGTGGTTTTTGAGAAATATTGCATTTTGATCATCAGAGAAGAAAAAGAATCGTCAGAGAGACAATGTTTATGGAGTGTTGGAATTGATATGGAATTTTGTTTTTGTAAATTCCAACCACTTTTTATGAGAGAGAGGGCTCAAATTTCGATTTCGGGTTATAAATGCTTAGTCTGTTTAGTATGTGTTTAGGTTTGAATCAAACAATTTATCCTAAACGTCCCCATTCCGAAATAATGTAATTTTCCGTTTCTGTGCTGCCGACGGCAAACATTTGAACGTCATCAATTCAAAATATCAAATCACTGAAATATCCCCTTTTTTTCATCAACCATTGCAAAGTGTTCCTTTTTTTCCGTTTTTGCCAAAGGCCATTTGGTATCACGTTCAAATTAGTTGACAAAATCACCATTAATTAGGTTCACACAAAATAGATGATATATTTTAATTTGTAGCTTCATCGAAAAATCAACAATCACTCATTACCCGTTTAGTTTTTATACAACACTGACAAACTCGATGTAAAACTAGGAAAAAATGACCTCTAAAGAAAGCAAAAATAAATTCTATACAAAAAAAAACAAGTTGTGCTCGTTGTTTTTTGTTTCTCTAAATTAAATTCACTCTGATTCAATGACATCATCGATGATTGGATTGAAGAGCTGTTTGAGCGCTGTGTCGAACGGTTGCAGAGACAAGCATCGCAGGGTGAGTAATAATTTTCCAAATCGTGTCCATTCCATTCGCTGTAGACAGTAGTGACCGAGTGTTACTAAGGCACCATTTGTTAAGTGTTCAATTTTTTGCGTCTCCAATAGGCTCAACGAATATTCTAAGAGCCACACAAAATGATTTATGTTTGAACAGAAAAATTATTTTTCAGAACTTTTCAACATTCACAACAACAATTCATTATGAGAACTAAATAATGCCAAATGTGTACCTTTTCGACATAGAACCAAAGTTTCTAATAATGAAATCTCCAATAAATCGGCCTGAAGTGTTTTAGTATCGCTTATAACTTGCTTCAACATTGGATCGTCATACCTTTGGAAACGAAAGATTGATGGAAATGAAAGAAAATTTTGCGGCTAACATTGATTGAAAAAAATATTCGAAATCATTGAAAATGTATACGAATTTAAAATTTATTCAAACATCGCAGTTATTCTAATAAACAAAACAAATAACTCACTGATCAATGACCGGTCCAATATCGATGGGCCAATGGGATGCTCGTAAAACAAAACATTCCGTCCACACATGTTTGAGAATATTTTTCTGCTGTTGCGATGGTAACTGTTGAAAATGTTCGTTGTGTTTTGCCTGTTTAACGCACGCCACCAAAATCTGTGCCATCACATTAAAATTCAATGTTTGATTTGCTTCCATCGCAAATGGAGCTGACTTCGCAATGAGATTCGATGGAAAAAGGGAATCTTTTGCCACATCGAATAAATTCGTCGATTGAATTATAGGTTTTTGTTTCCGTGGACCGCGCTCTTCTTGGACGGCTTTTTTTTCGCCCCGCAATCGAAAATGAATAATTGAAAGCGTAATGTTAAACAAAAACTGCTACTAAATTCATCTCTAAAAATAGCTCACCATTCACATTCATTTGCATTTGCAAGCAACGTTTTAAACGACAATACGCACACCAATTCCGCCTTGCTTTGTCGATTATACAGTTTCCTTTGCCGGCTTTTCGAAAAGAAAATTATAATGTGTGTTTTTTTCTTCTTTTTCAAAACTTTTTTTTCGTGAATTTTAAAATTGTAGGTTTCGAATGCGATGCTCACCGATACACGTATAGACCGCCCCTTTGCGAACACTTCGCTTGAAAAAGCAAGAGCATCCGTCGCAACAGATGACGCCGTAGTGTTTGCCGGAGCTTCGATCTCCGCAGATACAGCAGGGTGTCATCGATGTAATTAACATTCTCTTGATCAACTTTCCGCTTAACATCCTTTGCGTTGGCGAAGTCTGAAAAGTTTTACTTCTACTTATCCACAACCGAAAATTCCTTTTGAAACGGACGTGACGAACAGAGAAATCGAACTGTGACAATCGACCACATTCGAAATGGTTTTTATATGCTGCTCTGAATTTCGAATGAAGAAGAAAATTTGCCTAATCATTTGTCCTCCTTTGATTTGAATGACACACGTTCCTTGAGAGATCATAATCAAATAGAAGCGAATGACAACACGCGTGCCGTTACGAAACTTTCAGTTCAATTGTGATTTAGTATGAATACTCGGAACTGAAAAGCCCAGAAGCATTGTCTGTTGCATGTGACCATAAGAACACCGCGCACTCAAACTTTGACTGAGAGCGCGCTCTCTCTCTCTCTTTCTCTCTCTCTCGATTGTGACAATGATATGCGAAAAACTTTCTCACCCTTCCTCCGGACTCATGATTCGTACAAAATCTCACCTTTCGTCAAACCAAAATCATTCCGCTTTGATTTGGCTCGATTGGTATTTGAACACACGTATTTACCCGATTTCGGGCGGTGAAGTGAAAACATAGAACACCATCGATAATTATCTCTTGCTCGGTTTTATGTGAAATGTCAATAAAGTTGGTATTTGTTTGCTCATTTCCTAGCTCTCTTTCTCTTGCTCGCTCTCGCTGCGGCGCATTGTGTAATTAAATTAACGCTTAACAACTCGAATTGATTCGCTATAGTTTTCCGAGTCGGAAAAAGGGACGAATATTTTCGTGTTATGCCACTAAAATAAACATGGATAAATACCTGCAAACAATTAACATTTGGTTTAGCATTTGATCGTTACTTTTACGGTTGTCGTGAGTATTTGTTTAGTGTCACCACTGTCTCTCTGCATTTCTGCCTCTCACTCTCAATCAAAAGAGCAATCGCCGTATGTTGACCAAACGTAGCTGAATTATTAAAAACCATACAAAATGTGTATGTGCTTGTGCTTGCTGTGGCTCACTCCACACAAGAAAAGACACACTTTGACTTGGAAGTAGTTATAAATCGAATTTATTGCCGCCGCAGTCGCTGACCGTCGACAGTTGTAAATAATTTATGTGCATTTCATTCTTTAGTTCTAGGCTAAGCGGACTCACACACGGAACACACTGCGTCATTCACTCGGAACAAGAAATGTGTCTATGTACATAAATTGTATGTACGGATAGTGGTCTTTTGCTCATTGCAATCGTTGAATGATGAGTTGGCAGAACTACGTTGATGTGAGGAAATGATTGTTTGTTCAACACTTGCAATCAATTTTATTCTCTTGTTTTAGTGATTTAATTTGTATTTCCGCTTCACACGCATACAATGTAATATTTCCATGACTTATAGCATTTCGGAATGTTTTACATGATGCGTACAACATCATGATTTTCCATTTTACCTCAAATGAGCTATGAAAATACCATTTCACTGCTTCTCAAATTTCACAACCCAGGACCACACGAATAGCCATTTTTTGCGTTCAAAGGCAAATCTTTTAACTAGGTTACTCCATAAAAAGTATGCTCCCTCTGCACTATGCTTGACATGCATTGCTTGTGTTGGCAGTTCACTACTGCCATCCACAATACAATATGCACTCGAAATCGCAATGCACACTTTTTGCTTTGGTTCCATTCGATGCTGCATTCTTTTTGTCCATTGTGTTTACAAAGAAGATTTTGGGAGATGTTTTGTTTTCGTTCTCTTTTTTCTCCAGCTCTTTCTCTCCCCCGTTCGTTGTGCTCTCTTCTTTAGATGTTTGTTGTGCCTCAACACGAGCATCGAAAAACCAGAGAAAATGGCAATTATTCTGTTGGTCGACCGAAAAAAATGGATTTAATAATTGTGTGTTGTTTTGTTTGGTTTTCGTAAATCGCTGTGCATCGTTTTGTCTAGACGCACATAATCAAAGTTGTTCGCCTCTTTTGTTCGAAATTGTTCGAGTGCACCAGGAGTTTTGCTACTATTTTCGCTACTTTTGATTCTTTGCCGTTAAACGAGAGCATCTTCGTTATCGGCGGCGGCAGCGGCGGTATTGCTTCTTGAAATCGAATCGAGTGTTTTCTAACGGAATGTATATTTGATGAAATTGGATCGTTTTCATGAAGAAAAAAAATGAAAAATAAAGAGAAAAGTTGTTGAATTGATACTTGAATATCAAAATCTCTCGCTGGGTTACTTACAATGCTACAAATGCCGCACACATCGAAACTATCGCTTTTCCAATGGCGGTCGTCCTTGTTGTTGCTGTTTTTTCCAAATTCGATTTCAAATCCACTAAAAATTGCAAATCAATAAATACATAATCGAAAACATTTAAAATAATTACACCGGAATCGTATCAAACTCAATGGCTGATTTCGAATGCAACCGGTTGATATTGAGTTTTCCATAGATTTCATTCCGTTCGTCGTTGTTTGTTGCCTCCGAGTCTGAGCGGATTTAGCATTTGAAACCACTGACCATAACAGACTAATCCTTCGCTTCGACAGTGCATACAACGCACTGCAACGAACCAATGAATAACACACAACAGGATTAAGAGTTATGATCATAACCAATTTCCTGAACAATGCACATTGAATGCAGTACATTCCAAATGTGCCGCATCACCGGACTCACCGACTGGACCCGGATTGTACAGTAATCGATTATTTTTATTTAACAAATCTCACTTTATCCCATAATTTTGGATGAATCTCGACGGTTAAACAGCCGAACTGTGTACCAGTTTTCATACACACACACAAAGAACTCCGTATTATCTGACCTTCATTTAGTTTATTGTTTCAATCCATATTTATTTACTACATATCTTTCAACTGCAGATGATTCTCGTTGGCGCCATGTGCAATGAACAGTAGAGTGCAAGAGAGTGTCGAGCGGCACCGTACTTTGGACCAATCAAAATAAATAGCAAAACAATTTTTATTTATCGCTTGTAATTTTCCGTTAAAATGAAGCGAAAAGTTTTTGAATGCTGTTTTTTTGCTGCACGGGAGCATACTTCCTTAATATTATCTACTAGTCGGGTATACCTCTGTTAGAAACACTTGGTTCTGTAGTTTTTGAACATATTCGAAACGAGTTCAATCATCGCTCTTTTAATAATACGATCGGAACCCTTTCATATTTTTTTTCTGAAGAAAATTTTTAACGAATTCTCTTAAGTTCACTCAAGTGCTGAGGGATGACGTCACCAACTCCCATTTCACAATGAGTTTTAAAGTGAAAATTTATAGTTTTCCAATCGATGATGCTCAAGAGAACTTCAATTAATTAGCAAATAGACCGCAAGTACCAGTGAAAAAGAGCTCCGACTGTGTAACAGGCGGTAAACATAAAAGTCGAGTTCACACGAAATTCTCCTAATTTTGATGTTATCTGATTCATTCTCGAGACAGATACGATTCCATTTCATCACTTTACATTGGGTTTATCAGTACCGAAGAAATCAGTTAAACAACAAAACTTTGCTCACTTAAACTAATCAATTACAAGAAACTCGCAGTCTCTCTGTCTCTGTGTGTGTTTGTCATGCAACAAATCAACAAGAAGGCACCGCGTGATGAATAGAAGTGGGAACGCCCAAGAAAAACAAGCAAAAAATATCCAAATCCAACTAAGAGGTATCTATCTATTGAATTCAATCAATGGGCACATTGTGTCGTGTTGTTCTTTCTAAACTATTATATAGCATCGCACTTATCGGCACCCATCATCTTCAATCAGAAGCGAAAAGATGATCGCCGATTTGTGCAAACAAAGGTGTTTGAGTACGCACGCAAGCAGTAGCCAAAGGATCAGCTAAGATACTCCTGTTGTCGGAGCGTAGCGCAGTGAAATGGAATGTCGTGAAGAGAACGAGTGAGAATGAAGAGAAATGCGCAGTTTTTTGTGTGCATGACCTGTGTGTATGTCGTGCCAGTGTGCACAGTGAGAGTAAGACGCACGTTCGCCTCTCAAAATACCATTATATTCATTTTGGCAAACACCTTGAGCTCAACAACAACTGATGATGATGATGATGATAATGATGATGATGAGTACTTTCAGTTCGTTAATCCGATGACAAAGACACCTTTTATCTACCGTTCACAACACCAAAAGAAAAACACATTCGAATTAAGAGCCACCCGAATGCGATGCAGAGGAACGAGAAAAGAAAAGAGAAAGGAAAAAGAAAACAAATAGATGCACTCCATTGCATATTGTTTGTGTCCAAAGTAAGGGAAACTCTCCTAATGAACATTTAGCCATGCATTCATTGTTTGTTTTGAGTGCCGAGAATCGCATTCAAAATAGATAGTTTACTTCGTTTTTGGCACAATCGCCACAATTCAGATGACGTTGTTTAACATTGCGAACATCTTACTCGTGTCAGAATATTGGCTCTCTCACATACTCATCCATCGATTCATGAATGAAGTGCATTTCAGCAAATTTCATTATACCCATTGACAAACCAAGGGAAAGAGAAAAGACAAATCTAAATCTGCACAAGATGTTCGTTTGTTTGTGTCGAGTATCGGACATTGTTGTTGACAATAAATGCAAAACTGATAAAGGCGAAGGTGTGTAACGATGCTCTTCACTTAAGCGGCTAATGCAAACTATTTGTTTATATGCAGTTTTTCTTGTTGTTTTCGGTACTCTCAATGACAATCGTCAAAATCCATCGCATTTTTGTCATTCGTGTATCATTGCAGCAAGAGAAGAAAAAAATGAATAATACTTGATGTTTTTATGCGGCTAATAGCTCTCGAAATGCTTGTACATTTGTGTTTCTCTCTCTCGGTTAACACATTTACGTTCTTCAGAAAGTACTGTTTATGCCGATTATCGGCGAAAGTATCACTTGGCACATGTGTGACAATAGAATGAAATGGCCTGAATTTTCAGCAGCAAAAAACACTGTAGATTCATTTCAAAAACGTTTCAGCTCCGATTTCGGCAATTCAATGCAAAC